GTGTGTGTGTGTGTGTGTGTGTGCTGGTGGAGCTGAGTCAACGACAGGTGCAGATGCAGTGGGGGTGAATAGAGAGGGGGACAAGTGATCAATTTCAAATGAGCTTTGTAATACTGTTTATATGACTCGGGGGGTGGATGCGTTAAGATGATGATACATGGAAAGCTTTTTAAAGCTGATGGAGACAATACACAGCCTTCAGCTCTGAGGACACCAGAGAGGAAAGTCAGGAGCCCAGCGTATGTCGGGGTAATTCTGGGACCCCTGAATTAGAAATGTAAGTATAGGAATCAGTATTTTTTTCCCCTGAAATGATTACATGGGATATTTTCTAATGAATTTCTTTCGCTAATGAACGTAAATAATGTTGTCTTAATAAAGGGGGAGCTTTAACCCCTCGGGACCCAGATTGAGCTCAGATCAGATCCACACTCTTCTCTAAAACATTATTAAAATTAAAAATGGCTTTAATTCAGAGCATAAATAAAATGGCACTTCTTGATTAAGAGAACACTACATGATATACTTGACGTTGATTGGTTTGTAGCCAGGCGTGCGTCTGAAGTCGGCATGATGTCAATTTGGTGGGTAGGGGGGAACAACCTTTTTATCGTTTGATGAAATGCCTTAATGCCTTTTCAATTGGTCCTAAAGTCCAAACTCTCTAAAAAAGTGTTTTCAATACAAACAAACAAAACCATGGTTCAATTTGATCCAGACCGAGACTGCACCTCTATTGGTCTCTTTTTTGGAGTTTTCCTTCATGAAAGACAGACATGTCCATCTAAGCAGGGAGAGCAAAACTCCTCCGTCATCAATCCTCCTTCTCCCTCTCTCTTTATTAGAGGTGGTCAGGACGGAGAGCCTCGAGAGAACTCAATAAAACGAGGAACATGAAAGTGTTGAAAGTGAAGAGACGTAGTAAAGTCTGGGAAACTACTCTCACATGTCACAGACTTGAACTGTTTAGGTTGGAAGAAAACAGAGGGGATTTCGGTGCATGTAAGAGAAGTAAAGTCATTTCACTATGATGTAAAATGTTCACAGGTACAATTTAATTCCTTTATCCCTGAGGAGTCCTCGACTATTTTGAGCATTTTATACAATGTCAAAAAATATTTACCTTGAGAATGTTTGGTATCTTTTTCCAGCACTTTGCCCATATGACCAGTTAATAAATGCTTCCCTTTAAAATTGTGTATCAACATAATGGACCCTAAACACACAAGACACATCACATAATTTGATCGTGCCGGCATGATTGCAGAGTCCGCAGGGTTAAAAGTCGATGGTTTGTTATCTGCAAAATTTCAGTGCTCCAATAAGGACTGTAATGTGGGGGGTCGGGGTGGGGTTAGGGTGGGTGGACTGTGACTTACCAGCCTCCAGAAGCATGCGGGCGGTGTGTGCGTCGTCAGCCAGTGTGGCGTAGTGTAGCGCCGTGCAGCCCCGGAAACCAGCCCTGCTGCTGAGCCTGCTGCTAAATTCATCCTCTCTGGACACCAGAACTGTACAGAGGAATGGAAAGAAAAAGATTTGAGATAAGAAAGAGAAACAAACACACACAGACTTGAAACATGGTTCGTTAGTGATGTTAAAACTATTACAAATTAAATGTTTTGACACAAATAATGAATAAAAAAATTGGACTTTTTGGAATCAAAATGGATTTTGGAGAATTAAACAACTGGAAAAATGGAAACGAGAAAAGTGTCCTACGATTCTAGATACCTCTTTTACACCAAAATAGCGGGTTAATGGTGTTTTTTCCCATGCGGGTATAAAGCCAATAAAAAAAAGCTGATTGCCCTTTTTCCCCCAGTGTGTCATATTTGATGACATAAACACACCAAAAACTGAGGCACTCTCTCACCTCACTGTCTTGCCAAATAAGCTCAAGTTCACTTGGGTTCCACGTCCCATCAGTGCCAATCAGATCTAGGGCTGTGTCTATACAGCAGAGTCTTTTGACCCGGGAGTGAAAGCCGATTATATCCATTCCCATTGCAGACAAAAGCCAGATGTTAGTGGGGGCTAGAGATGCACACAGTATATTCCCTAAAGCTGACTACATGATTAAGATGAATTAACAAACTAATCCAACACAAAATCCAGACAACTTTGTTCTCACTCGACAGCGTGACTCCAGAGAGTGCATCAGTGATAACACTGCAGTCTACAAATTGTCTTTCCTGTTTCCAGCTTTCGCAGACTTGTTCATTTTCACAGATTTAAGCTCCACTGCACGACATGATTGCAATAATGCAAGTTGTGTTTTAGGGCCTGCTTTGTTGTTCTCTTTCCTAATAACACAGATAGTCTATCATTCTCTCCTTACTCCTCTTTTTCATAAGCGCGCTCATCTCGTGCCACTCCTCCATCATCCCTTTTTTTTCTGCCTCCTTCCTCTCCTCCTCGGCATCCATCAACTCCTTTCATCACTTTCACCCTTTTCCCTCCTCCCTCCTGTGCTCCCTCTTTCCCAATAACTTTGTCTCATCCATTTCCTGACTTCGTCTCCTCTCCCTGCCATCATCCAACCCATTCCCTTTATTCGCTCTCTCCCTCTAACACCCCTCCAAACATCCTTTCCTCTTACTCCCTTCCTTCTGCCTATCCCCTTTTTTCCTTTCACCGCTTCTCTCTTTTTCCTTCTCCTTTGCATCATCAGTCTTTCCCTCCCTTACTCAATTCATCCCACTCTTTTTCCTCTGTCGCTCTGACAGTCTCTCTCTGCAGTGTGTGTGTGTGTGTGAGAGAGAGAGAAAGAGAGAGAGAGACAGGGCGGGATAATCATAGCTAACCCAATAAAGCGTCGCACAGGCCCCCCTAGCCCATCCATCAGCGTGCGTCTGGGAAACGCTTCCCCACGCTACACCGGCCCCACGTGGACCCAAACCTGACAGCCATATAAATGTCTGCAATATACATATCCCATATAAATATGTCTACAGAAACCCAACGCAGGCTGGGGGGGTGGTGATGTGTGTGTGTGAGTGTGTGCACGCTTGTGCCATCCTCTCAGTGTGTTTGTGCGTGACTGTGTATGCAGCTCTGGAGAAAAACAAATAAAACACACACCACTTGTCATCGCACATCTGAAACAAATAATAAAGAAGAAATGAAACGTGTACATATGCAAATCCTTATGCAAATTATAATGTCTCATAATGTCTTGTCCAACACTTGGGATTCATATGTGTAATATATAACCACACACACACACACACACACACACACACGCAATGAGTGTTTTTGTTTGTTTTACCTTCCAGGGAGTGGATGCCTTTCTCCCGCGAGGTGTCATAAACATTGTTGAAGTGATCTCCAGCGTTTGGGTCAGCACCAGCTTCGAGCAGAACCTTCACCACACTGGAAAACAACAAAATACACAAACACACACATTTATACACATGTAATAATCCACATTATTGTTCTCTTGCAGAAATACACACAGGCAATCACTGCATTTCCACAGCAGCTGGAAATGCAGCTTGCAGCCACTGATGCTGGAGACTGAACAAAGTTTCCTTAAGAAACAATGACATTATTCATGGGGATAGATGATATATTGGTGGCTGATATATTAGATATTATAATTCCTGCTAATGTTCAAGTAAAGGAATTAGAGAGCCAATAGCGGGATTTATATCAGAAGATGAGAACAATTAAGGATGTCACTAAAAACCTGATGTGAATTGGTAAAGATTTAAATAAGTAAAGATCTGGAGTGTTTTTAAGATTAAATCCTCTGAAGTTATTCTAATGATTTAGCCTAAACTTGGCAGGTGTATACAGTGTTTCCCATTAACTATCTAGACTGTATTGGCCTGATTCTAATTTGTGCTGCCACAGTTTCAAAGTGCAATAAAATGTTATTTGTATAGCACCATTCATAATATACATTATCTCAAGGCACTTCATAAGGTCGAGACCTTAAAATTGCAGTGAAACCAACAGTTCCCCCAACGAGCAAGCACTTTGGTGACTGTGGAGAGAAAAAGCTCCCTCAAATAATGAACCCATTATTTTTTTACACTTCTCATAATAACATAAGAGATCTCTAACTTAATGTTTTGTTCCGTTGCTGCATTGTATAGCTGTCTGCAGCGCTATTTGCCACATGCTTGCTCTTACGCTATCTAGCACTATCGTCCATTATGTTTTTACCGTCCACACAAACAGTCAGCTGCAGTTGTGCACGTACCTGCAAATGGCTTGCAATTCAGTTTTCTCTCTCATGCGAGAAGTTTTCTTTCCCTTTATATGTCTGTGTAACATTCACTCCCCATCTGCATGAGAGCGATGTTCATGCCTGTCCATAGATTGAATGAATTCTATGGGAAACCCTGGGTGTGTTGCTGAGGACCAAAGGTTCTCAAGAGAGCTTGAAACATGACTTTTCTACATGGAACTTGATGAGAAGAAAAAGGTGCAGCTGCACTGTGTGGGCAGCACCTGAACAGTTTATCATGCAGATGTGCCAGTGTTTTAAGAGAAGTGGGAGTCAGCAGCAGTGGAACCTTCTACTCCATCAATGTGATGCTATGAGAGGAGACAGAAGGAAACTATGCAATGGCAGGTGTATTCCTGAGGAAAATTATTTTTTGGGATGATCCTTCAAAAGATCAGCCTCTACGGACGGACACATTTTCAACGGGCACTGCACAAGTAAAGACACGATAGCAAACCTGTTCCTTACACAGTGGACAGTGAGATGTCGTCTAGACATTTCTGTTGCTAGGGAAAAAATACGAGGACATAATGAGCTCTGTTACTGGAATATTGAATTTTGGATTTGGAAATGAGACGACACTTGTTTCCCTCCTTTACTGAAAGATGTTGTATAACTTAAGAGTCTAGACCCTTTACCAGGGAGTCATTGCTAGAGAACAAACGCGATGCACACAGACATAGCTGCAAATATCCAATTCCTAAAATGACCACAACTCTTTCACGTGATTAAATTTCACGTCTCGTCTTTCCCGTTACGGTGTATACACTCTTAACGTCTGCTTCTGCCCTTCACTACTCACTCGCCCGTTTCATGACATGTACGTGTGTACATTGAAGGGGGCGAGGGCTGGGCCTGTTTCCGGTGCAGTTGAGGGGGGGGGGTCTTGGTGTTGGAGTGGGTGTTTGTGTGTAGCCCTTCATTGGAGCGTACCGCCTTATAGAACAAACACGAATACCTCGGCAACACCACTCACCGTGACCCGACGGACATTCCAGGTACCGTCTCTCCGTCTACAGAACACACACGCTTTATATTTACCACCATGAACGTGAGCAATAGCTTTGACATTGAGACACAGACATGCATACAAAAGCTGGTTAGTTCCTCTGTGGCGACTGGAAGAGAGGAGTACGGGGGGGCGATGGCCGAAACATGAACCCAGCCAGTACGCTGCTGGCTGTCATTAAACCTGTGACTATGTTATTCATCCTGGCAGAGAGTGATGGATTTTTTCTACTAAATGGTTATGGCAGCTGCCCTGAAAATGCTTAAATAAAGCAAAAATGATTATTCATAAGAGGATGAGGTGGACTCGTGTTTTTTTAAATAAACCAACCTGATCACTTAACATGCTACAGCAGCACTTTAAAATGAGACACGACAAGAGACATGACCTCAATGATGGAGCAGCTTTGTGAAAATGGGAATGAGAATTTAAGCAGAACAAAGATTTTATAAAAATATAAAACATTGTTATTTTAAGTAATTAACAACATACTGAAGCAGTAAAATACTTGAAGCATCAATGAATAAATGGAATTCAGGATTCAACCAGTCGAGATTGATCTGCAGTTTTTTCTCTAAATGTGCATTCGGGAAAAAAGTGAACAAGGTGACATACACAAACATGGTCTAAACCAAAGTCTACTAATAGATATGATAATTTAGAGCATCAATTCTTCACACCTGAGAAGCTGCAATCAGCATATGACTGTCAATGGATCATCAAAATACTTGATGATTAATTTCTGAAATAACTAGAATGACACAGTCCCCTTAAATTCAATCAAGCAGAACAAAATTGCAGACTCTCATAGATATCAGTCCCCTAAATGTGCCTGATTTACGTCTACCTGTGTTCAAGAACGAGGAAAAACTATTCTGGATCCATGACAAAATTTAAACATAAAAAAACATAATCTCCAGAAGTACGCGTTCTGCTGAGTGTCATAATACGTAGTTACCACCAAAAAAGAAATTCATGGATCCAACCCTTAATCTGCACCAAACTTCAAAGAGTTCTCCGCAGGCACCATCCTTCCATCTAGTTTGATGGAAATCGGTTTGGTATTGAAAACATATCTTCCTTGGCGGAGCTAAGGATGAGCAGTAGAGGCTCAGTATTCAAACATATCACCCTAATAATGTCAGTAAAGCTTAAGACAATTGAGCTCAGTGATTCTGGTTTCTCCATTAATGGCGTTACTATAGCTGGAGACTTAGTTGGTGTCACGACTGTAGAACATGCGTGTTCCTGTGGGAGAGCGAGGCTGAGAACAGCCTGACCAGGTCTTTGTGTGTGACCTTGCTGAGCGGGTATAAAAGGACTATGGGGAGGTCCCCTTTTGTTACTGTATCACTGTGGCTGGGGGCCGGCAGAGGGGGGGCATGACCCGCGGAGGGCTCTCCTCTCACCCTTGCAAGCACTTCTACAAACACATGGTTGCATCCTCTGAGACACATACAGACACACACACAAACTCTAACTGGGTGTGCTGGTCACACGAGGTTGGGCAGGACTGTGTGAAGAAATGAGATGGTCTGAAAAGGGTTAATGGCATCAGGAAAGTCAACATGCAGGGATAAAAAGAGGAAGAGTGCGGAGGAGGAGGAGGAGTGGATGAAAGGAGGGAAGTGCAGCTAAAAAAGATGAAAGAGGGGAGATTTAATTACACAGCATAGTGCTAAAACTAATGAGCTTTTGAAAACACTTTTTAGTTTTACTAATCAACTGATCATCAAGTGGTTAACTTTATTTGGGACGTTTAGGAGGAGAGTTGCAGCACTAATTTGAAGCCCAACTGAAGGCATGCAAAGGTTAATTAGGTTTAACTCCCCACAAGGACAAGGACTCCACCCCTGATTCTCTCAAAAGTCTAGATTACAGACTTTTTAACACAATTTAAGAATCGCCCACAATATTATCTGTAAATTACATGATCATTTTCTTGTCCTAGAGCTTAATGCCTCCAAATCTCCAATTTCTTTGTCAGGCTTGGGTCCATTGTCTCAATCCTCTGTGGCTGTCAAAGGTTGTAACATGCCATGTAGGCAGTATTGAGATATCCTTAATTAATCTCATACCCTTTCCCTTCAAGTGAAGAGATGCCATCAAACCCTACCCAATAGTTTTGTAGAATGGCTTTGTGTGAAAAGCCCAAGTAACATCTGAACAGCAGAACGCAGAACCCTTGACTGGAGAACCAGTTGTTGTCGTTGTCAAGCTGAACTGTAGATCAGTTGAAGACTAAAGACTAAACAAAGACTACTCTCTCGTGGCGCTATTCCGAAGAAAAGAACAGTCTCCTTGCTTCCCCATTTTCCATTTGTACCAAAGTTGTGTTAATGGCCACTTATCATCTACACATTGATGCCAGGGCTGGTAGTTTTAACCTTTGAGCTCGGCCTGAGGTTTACCAGCAGGTGACTGGTGGGACTGCTGAGGGCTGGTGTTAGTTTCCCATCCTGCCCTGGAGGGAAGACAGAGGAAACAGACACTTCCGTCTCTCCACTGCTACAATGGACACCTGAGCTGAACTGACCATCCATGTCTCTGACCACCTGGGCCAGACGCTGGACCTCACTTGACCTTGTTTTATCTGGTGCACAGCTGGGGTCACGGAGGTGCCAGGAAGAGAAGTTCATTGCACTTCGATACTTTGCTGATTTGTTTCTGACAAATTACCTGAATGCTTATAATGTAATTATGTTTAAGTATTTCTTTTTACTTCCACCAAGGTGTTTTGTTGTGTTTTCATCTGTACCTGTTGGTTTGTCTGTCTGTCTGTCTATTATTTAGCAGAATTATGTAATTATGTAAACATGACAGATTACCACTACAAAAAATGGAGGGATGCATTATCGGTCAGGAACTTTCTTTACCTTTTCTTTATCATTTGATTTCTCAAAGAATAATTCATGGGTCTTCAATCAGGCAAGTTTAGGGGACTGATCTATGAGTATGTGAAATTTGGTGCAAATATCTGGATCTAGTAAATTTAGATGTGGTTTCATTCGGGGACAGAGGTATGCACTCTACTACTTCACATATGACTTTCACATATAAGATTAGAGGACCTAAATAAGTAATTATGAATATTTGCAATATTTAAGAAACATCCACAGTTTATTCACAAACAACACTAAAATGGTTTACTTGTTAAAGAAATACATTTTAGGTTAATATGCATACAAAAATGCAAATGCATAAAATGTCTCAGGTTCATCATGCACCAGTGTGTTTGGATGATGTAAATCATAATTGATCAGCAGATCAGTTTTGAAAATGGCTGGTTTGATAAAGAGCAGCAGGTAACTGGATCTTACTGCAGTTTGGGCAAACCAACACATCTTTAGAACTTCAAGGAAAACGAGCACTTTTACTTTGCCACGCTGTTACTGCATCGTACCTTGAATACTAACTGTACTCACATTATTATTACGGCTTTAGAAAACTTCAGTGATGTGCACATGTAGAAAAATCATTGCACTAAACCTCATATGTAGATTTGTGGCCACCAGAGGGAATATTTTAGAGGGACATATAAGAATCAATGATAACACATACAGTAACTGATTCAGTGACTAAAAGATGATAATTTTTCACGAGGGGAATGCTTTCAATTCTATTCAGTTGAGCTAATCCCAGTCCCAAACCCATAATCCCACTCCACATCACTCTCTCCACTGCTCAACTATTCTCTCCCTCTCTTTCCCGACGAGCCACTCATCCTTTCGTTCCATCATCCCTCCGCTCTCTCTCCCTCCCCATCAAGTCGCTCGGCCGACAGGTCGGAACGGTCAACAGGCGTCTCACTCGGCTGAGCGCTCATTGTGCACGTGAATGCAGCGAGGGAGGGATGGAGGGAGAGAAAGAAAGATGGAGATGGGTATTGTGTGTTAAAGAGTGCAAACATTGAGCCAGGCCCTGCGCCTCCCTGACTTAGCCGCACATCAAAGCTCAGCAAACACACACCCCCTCGATGTCTAAGCCTTAACTCTTACCCCTCTACTCCACCCCTGATTCTCTCATACAGCAGCACCTCGACCCCTGAACACGAGAGACGCTTCCTGGAGGATGCTACACAGAGAAACAGTTGAAGGACAGCTACACTTTCCACTGAAATGACAATGTGGTCAAATCTTCTGTCTCTTGAAACACAGTGATCACATCTGGTCCTGTAAAATATAAATACACAGCGAGGGAGGGGGGGGAATAATTCAACAATGGGATCCATACTGACACTGTAGCTACGGGCTAGACCATTCTCATGAGTAATGCTCACTGTGTTTTCACTTAACGGCTGCAAATAAAGTTGTGTGTGGCTGAGTAATAGACAGTTGGCCTGTAAGATATTTAGAATGAACTCGCCTTGTTTGTGCGTGTGTTTATGCACGTATTCACACATGCATCGTTCGTTGTGTGTGTCTTCATGTTTTGTGAGTGGATATGAATGTGTGTTAGTGTGTGAGTGTGTGTGTGTGTGTGTGTGTGTGTGTGTGTGAGTGATGTGTGTGAACCGATGTTCTGTCTTCCCTGCAGCAGTGACGGCTCATTGGGGGGTTGGAGGACAGGATTAAACACAGAGGAGTGTCACTGCCTCGCTGAGTTATAGCACTCATAACACACACACACACACACACACACACACACACACACACACACACACACACACACACACACGACAGTGCATGGACACACAAACACAATGTATACCGATTCGAACACATACACATGACCCATTTGTATCAAAAACACTGAGGCACATAAATCAAACAATCTCATCATTAAAAACAATAGAATTCATGTTTCACACCAGCAGCCACTCAAGACGCACAAATTGTAAATGTAAAAAGGATGGTTGTAGGATGATTGTATATATTTATATTTATCTGATGATCAAAATGAGCAAGACAATACATTTTCCCTCATTTTAAATAACCATTTTCTCACATTAGAGGAGCTGTTTGATAGATTTGTTGAAAAATGGCTGAAACAAATGATCAAAACATATGTCCGTTATATTCTGTCAATTGAACACTTATAACTTTATATATTAATTTTTGTGGCATGATTTCACACTATGTAAAAAACTTGAGGACGCAGAAGCCGTTACCATAGGAATTAAAGTAAGCTCCTTTTACGCTATTTTCATATTCATGTTCTCATGGGCTCATGAGGCCCTTAAACAAAAAAGTGACCACAGTCCTGATGGAGGAAAAAAAAGCCGGGTAAATTGGATTTGGCCCAGCCTTAACCTCGGCCCCTCTCTGTGTTGTGTGTTCTGGGGGCCAGGAGGCTAATTTAATTTGTTGGGGCAGAGAGATGGGGGAACGGGTAAAGACCGTCTGTCAGTCTGAAAGTCACACTTTGCACTTCTGAAGAACTACTGTAACAACTGGAGCAGGGACATGGATGACATATGCTCCACAGCCAAGTCATGCAGACAGCTGCAGGATACCAAAACACATATGCTCATCAGGGAGGGCGAACTGTAAAACACACACTGACCCATGCTGTCTGTTCATGGCTGCCACCATGAGAGCAGTCCAACCGAGACGGTGGCGGCAATTTGGGTCCACGCCTTCCTTTAACAGCCTGATGGGAAAGAAAGAAACAGAGAGGGATTTGAATTTAATCATTTTAATATTCAATATTTAGTAGATGAGATCAGAAACGTGTTTCTATATAATACGAGTAGAAAAAAAAAAAAAGTATAGTGTTATGTTAGCATCTTAACACATACAGAGATATGATGCTAGAGTAAATATTGTTCTGTCCTCAAAAGGGAATGAATACAGATAAAATGGATTCAAAGCTGCTTCACTGCTTGTTTCTGTATCATGGACCTGCCTTGTTAGACACAACATTCTGAAACGCACACACAATGTCTTTGTCTTTATCTGAAGACACACACTTGCTCTCTGACCAGTTCATGTCTGTGGTGTAAGCCAGGTGTGTGTCGGGTTTTCTCCCTGAGGGTATGACATCAGGTAGCGGAGCAGCGCAGAGCTGCGTGTGCCTGTGTGTGTGTGAGAGCGATCCGTCTGTCGTCTCCAGTGCTGAGCGGGCAGACAGTGTGTGTGTGTGTTTACAGTCAACACGGTGGCCTCAGTCTGGTCTGCACTCAACTCTGATGCTCACTGACTCTGCTCTCACTGCCTACACTGTATCAGCGTTTGTTACGAGGAAATGGATCACCACTACAGCTACATCCAAATGTCTCAGGGTGATGTGGTCGTTTCAGTCACATTAAGCAAGTTAGTTAAAACAAAGGTGTGGAAGTCACAGCTTTTGCGCTGTACAGGAGAACATGACTGAACAGAAAATAATTCTAGATGAACCGTGCTCCATGATGAGGGAAACAGTTAGCTGCTGCCTCTGAAGATGACACTACAATGAATGTAGATAGTTGCATTTTTCTGTATGTTTTAAATGTATCTGACCTTGCAAAAACATTTTTTAACCGAACACTGTCGCAAACACACATTACCAGTAAAACACACAGGAAATAGACATCAGGGCCATAAGGAAGGTTTCACTCATAGACTGTTTATGAAGATGGATGACACATCACCACTTCCTTCCATTATCCAGAAATGAAGCTAAATTACCCTGGAAGCGAACGCAGCCATCTTGCATATTTGGAGCCAGAGATTGGGGAGTAGCAATCAGGGAACAGAGCCGGAGTAGCAAAGTCCCGTTGATACACAAACTCGACCAGGGGTAAGTCACAGCTGTCATGATATTTCACTTCGTTTTTACAGCATGAAATAACAAATTAAAACCACTTACTGGAAAAATGTACACTGTGATAAGAACTACCTGAAGTGTCAGACACCATCTTTGAGGAAGAATTATTGGACTTCTCGGTCCAGACCTCTCCCCTTTCTCTGCTGCCACTCAACAGACACACCCTGACACACTACCACTTCTATAAACTCAAACTAAAGCACTTAACACATCTGTGACCTGCTGACTGGAACTCTCACCTACACCATCTGCCACATGGCCACAGGTAACATAAGCCTGCAAATGGAGACACACGTGGATACACACTTTTATGCACACACTCAAGTACATGGATTTGGATGCCGATATCCAACAACACAAAATGCACACACAACAATCATCAGTTGATTAAAATAGATGTACACATTCATCTGATTTCTTACAGTGGTGAGCAGCAAAATGAACGAGAAATCCAATGTCAACATTAAGAGTGATGTGTGTCTGTAAACATATCCAAAGGTAAATGGGACATAGTGGATTCTTTAATGTTTTATTATCATAAAGTGATTTCCACAACAAAAGTGCTAGAGTTGGTGCATGGTCCCATCTTCTGTACTCAGTCTTTGTAATGCAATATGATCAACAAGACAGATGGGACCAAAAACTACTACAAGCATGGTGCATTGCTATATCTGTCTCTCACACACACACACACACACAC